GCTTTCGAACTCCTGACCTCGAGCAATCCGCCCGCCTTGGCCTCCCAGAGTGCTAGGATTACAGGCTTGAGCCACTGCGCCCAGCCTGTAAGGCTTTTTTAAAAAACGACAGCTTTCAGATTTGAAAGAACAACTTTGAGGTATATATTAGTGAACACAAGAGATTAATTAGGGCAGTTACTCTTAAATTTGTTTAACTGGTAAGACCTAGTACCTGACACTTATAGTACTTTTTGTGGAATATCATGAAATATTGTTATGATAACTTTAAAGTAACAAAGTATTTCATTTTTGTGTTAGTTGATTTGAATTTAGATAGAAGCAGTGATACATTTCAAAGGTTTAAGAAAAGATTATGGAGGGAAAACTGGAAGTTGAACAAATTCTTATCATTAACTTAAAATTTTTAGTGAATGAGTCAAAGGCTACCAATATTCATGTTTTTTGGGTGGCACATCTGTCATTTTCTAATTGGACTATTAAACCATCTGAGTTCATTTTCTGCTGATGTAACAGAGTACCACAGACTGGGTGGCTCACAGTTCTGGAGGCTGGGAAGTCCAAGAGCGTGGTGCTGGCCAAGTCCAGGGTCCTCAGATGAGGGCCCTCTAGCTGTGTTATCCCATGCAGAAGGGCAAGTGAGCATGAGGAGTGAGCAGGGAGAGGGGAAGGAGGAGAGAGAGAAAGAAATGGGATTGAACTTAACCTTTTATCAGGATCCCACTTCCAGTTAATGATATTAATTCATTGATGAGGGCCAAGCCCTCATGACCTAGTCACCTCTTAAAGGCCCCACCTGTCAATACCATTACAATGGCAGTTATATTTCAATGTGAGTTTTGGCAAAAACATTGAAACCTAAGAAATCCTTAATATGAGCTCTGTGGTATGGTTTGCAAACATATTTTCATTTTACTTTTGTAGCTTATTTCACATCTACAATTAGTGCCTTATTTTCAATCTGACTTTATTTTTTTCCATTTTTACCCTATAATAGTTATAGTAAGCCAAGAATATTATTCAGATTTCTCCACTAGATGTCTGAGAGATTAGTCTGCCCAACTGTGTGTCCTCATCAGTAATACTTGAGGTTCAAATTATTAACTTTGTAATCTTGGGCATACCACAGTTTCTGAATCTTACTTTCTTCATATGTAAAAGAGGTGATATAATTCCTACAGGGATGTTGCTGGGATTAAGTGAGGTGATGTATGGAAAGCATTTAGCACTCTGCCTGGCAAATAAATAGTGCACGATGTTGTTAATGGTAATAAAAGTTATAATTATTGCTGCTCAGGGAAAGGAAAAGTCTAAAGGTCCTATAGGATTTGATAATTAGGATACCTGACTTTTTTGAGGAAAGGGTTAGTAACATGATGGGGCAAGAAACCAGAATGAGTCACTGTCGACAGAAATTACAGACTCATAGTTCTATATTTGTGTGACTGCTTAATGCCTGTATTTTCTAATAGAATTTCATAAGGGCAGGGACTGTTTTCCTTCCTTCAGATTCCCTAGCTTCTGGCATGGTGCTTTGGCATATAGTCAGCCCTCAAATGTACTTTTTGAACAGAAACCATTTAGGTACTTTGGTGTCTCTCTCCATCTTTCTCTCAAAAATATGTCTTAATCTGTTCATCAGTGAATAATCTTCAGAGTTCTAATTTTGGATGCCCCTGGCTCTGAGCCAGTGATTGTGTTCCTTAGGAGATTTTGTAAGCTGAAGGCAGCTGTGCCCAGCCAGTAACATGGTGAAGATTGGTGCTAGAAACCTTATTGTATTGAGTTAGGAATTTGTGAGCTCCAGGTCTAGAAACACATCTAAGTTTCTCCCCATTTCTTTCCTTTATTTTCCTGAATATACCCAGGATTCGTCATTGCTCTCTACTACCACCTCCTGTTGCTCATTGAACTCTTCTCATTTTTTGGATTCCATCTGTGAAGTGTGAACCCTTTTAAAGCTTTTAGTGACAATAGTGAGAACATAAACAGGGAATACAAAAAGGCCCCCTGGCTGGTTTGGTGGCTCACACCTGTAATCCTAGTACTTTGGGAAGGTGAGGCTGGAGGATCGCTTGAGCCCAGGAGTTTGAGACCAGCCTGGGCAATATAGCCATATCCCGTCCCTAAAAAAAATAAGGAAAATTAGCCAGGCTTGGTGGCACATGCTTGTAGTCTCAGCTACTTGGAGGCTGAGGCAGAGGAGGATGGCTTGAGCCCAGGAGTTAGAGGCTGCAGCGAGCTGTGATCACACCATTACACTCAACCCCCTGCACAAAGGAAGACGCTGACCCCCCCACCCCAAAAAAAGGCCCCTTTGTAATTATTTCTTTACTGAAGCCTGACAGGCTATGTAAAATACCCCAATGTCTATGTTGGGTCTCAGAGGAAGACTTTTAGGGGGAGATTTGCTTCCTTTCTACCTGCAAGCCTTAAGAATGATGAGTCTTACATAAATTTGAGCCATGTAAGTATAGTTTCTTTTAAGAGTTAGGACCCTACACGGGTTTAATTTCCAGCTCTGCTTCTTACTAATGTGTTACTTAATCTCTGTACCTCAATTTCTTCATCTATAAAATGGGGGTAATATACTTTCTTCATAGCGTTGTTGTTAGGATTAATGAGATAACCTTCCTTCCTCTCTTCTTCCTTTCCTTCATTCCTTTTTTCCAATGTATATATCTATCTAAAATTATGCTTTGCAGTGCTAAGTACTCAACAAATGTTAGTTGTTATCATTAAGTGCCTCACCCTTTTGTATGTGGCCCTAGGAATTTAGAGGTGAATAACATAAAGTCCCTGGTGTCAGAGAACTAATAAAAAGGGAAGGAGAGCAGATGCAGACTTGAAGCCCATCGTGCTGAGATGGGTGGTGGAGGTGGACAGGCGATCACGCGAGGTGGGGGATAGATAGGCAGTTGTGCTCAGTGCTCAGGCTGACTGGGGAAAGATCAGGGGAAGTTAACAAAGGGAGGAGAGATTGAAGCAGATTTTTGAAGGCCAAGTTCTGATTTCTGAAGGGTAAGTTTGATAGGTGAGGATTTCTGAAGGTTAGTACTCCCTGGGGAACTTTGAGGGGAAAATGCATATTTTTGGTTTTGACTCCCAGGCTATTGAGTCTTTGGGTGCTGGAAATCTGTTTGTTTTTAAAGTTTTTCAGGACTTTCTTAGGCAGATAACTTGCTATTTGGAAACTATTGCCAGTTAATTTCAAGAAGGAATTTAAAATTTTGGTTTTAGGAAACTAAAGTGAATACTAACCTATTTAATGTATTGACTTGATAATTTTATTATTTATATGATAATATTTAACTAGGTAGTTAATATAAACTAACTTTTAGATTATATTTCATTTATAAAATCTAAGTTTATAAATGGAATATCATTCTTTATTATAGTAACATTATAGCCAGACCTGTACTTTTTAGTGGATTAAGTATATGTAGATATGAGAGGATCTTTTGGATTATTAACTTTAGAAACAATTTTTGTTTATAGACATAACTAGCATATTAAATTGCATAATATGCATGTATATAGTGCTTTTCAGGGATGATGAAAGATAGAATGTATGATTCAGAAATTGCTTGGGTAATCCATAGTTGGTTTGTATTTGTAGCCTTGTAACATGGGTAGTAGTGTTTACTAATATGCCACATATGCAGAGTCAGAAATGTCAGTAGACATTAATGATGAGCTATCTTTTAAAAATACAAACTCACCTTGTTCAACTATAGAAAGTGGTGGGAATAAAGAATTTGAAAATGGAAGGGCAAAAATATTTACTTCTAGGATATAGCCACTGTTCATAATAATTTATTAGTAAAGGCTTTCATAGAAAGTATTAGAGAATTTAACACAATTCTTAAATGGAAATATTTTCAGTTTTATCTAGAGAACTGTAGAGGGTGCTATATCATAAGGAATTGTAGTCTGACCTAGCTTTAGCTAACTAAGAATTCTCTTAAGCTAGAGTTTCATAGGAGTTAGTTTTTCTTTGGTGTAAACCTTTGTTTTTATTATTTTGACTGAAATTAGAGTGACTAATGTTGCATAATGGATATAATTTATAGTGAATATTGAACTTGTTTACAATGTTTTTCATCTTCCAGGTTCTTTGATATAGTTGAAATTGTGATTTGTTCCCTTTATATTGGTTTGAATAATAAAGGTTTATTTTCTCATCATCCACTCCCACCCTCCCGTCCCAAATTAAGGATTTGTAGGTCTTAATAGGTCAAAAGACAACCAAACTATATAAGAGTAATATATTTTAGGTGGGTCTGGTTCCAAAGAGTATGATCTTTAGAACAAAGATTGTTACACCAAAATGGAGTTGTAGAAACCTGGGAAGACTTTGTTTTTGTTAAGATGGAATTATGGCTTTTTTGACTGATTAATATATTATTCAGAGAGGAGTTCTATAAATTTTAAACCTTTTAACTGTTACCTAATTTTTCTGGTTAAATGGTGATTTTAGAAAATTTGAGGTAGAATTATTTGATCCTCTATCTTAAAAGATTGCTTTTAGTAACTTAGATTCAATTTCACCAGTACTGAAGAATTTAGGAATTATTTGCACTAGGTTAAGTTAGACTGAGCGGTACGTCTTGAAATAAAAGGTGATGATAAGTTAGCTATGTTTTAAAAAATACAAAAAGTGTTAGATAAGGATCTCTTTTTCTTTTTTTTTTTTTTTATTTTTATTTTTTTAAAAACATGGAACATCACAGAACTGAAAGGATCTCTTTTTCTAAAATGCAAGCAACTTTAAAGGATTCTGACCCTAACTGTGCCAGGAATGCCTTCCTTTTTCCTGAAACCATATTTTAAATATTTAGTATCAAGTTTTATACAGTAGTTGCTTAAAAAAAGTAAGAATTTTTCCCTAATATCTCCCAAAAGTGAAACTATTTTCTCCTCTTGTGGATAAAAAGCTTGCTGTTACTCAAGCTTTTTCATTAAATAAGCATACTTTGTTTTTGTTTTTAATTCTCAAGGCACCACCTTCCATGGTCAATAATGAACAACGCCAGCATGCAGAGCACATATTCTTATCATTTAGGAAATCAAAATCACCATTTGCAGTTTGTAAGCATATTTTGGGTAAGTATTCACTTAAAAAATATTTTGGCATAATCAGATTTGGTGTTTCTGTCTTGAACGTTAGCTATTTTAAATTACCTATAAAAGTAAGCAGATCCATACAGCTGAAAATTTTCATTAATAATAATTCTACTGCAGTGGCTTTAAAGATGTGGCAGACAGGAAGCTTTGTTTTATTTTGGATTTCCCCCCCCAGACATAGTGTTCAATAATTTTTTTTATTATTGACCATAACATGACGGTGTTAATGGTGGTGGGAAAATTTAATGTTTTTTTCAGCTGTTTTCAAATGTCATTTAATGTAGAAAATGTACTATATCTCTTATCCCAGTGTTAGTTTTAAAATTAAGGTTGTTTTTGAAGGTGTCTGCATTTTCTTTCTTCTAGTTTGTTTCTCCATGGTGCATTAAAAAAAAACCATTTAGTTCATACTTGGCTTGCTTAGCGAATATTAGTCATTTCCGGGTAGGTTATCACTATATATACTAAAATAAAGCACTGATTTTTACTTTTGTACAATATGTTTTGTGAGTACCTTTTATCTGACACATGTACAGAAATGATCTTTTCTAAAACAATCATAAGAAATATAGCTCTCTTGTCCAAAGATGGCATTTTCTAAAAGTTATATATGATGTTTATCTTTGCCCCTTAGATATTTTTCAATGTTAGTAACAGAGATTTAATTGGTCATTGTTATTTTATAGCTTGATTACTGTTGGCTGTTTTTCTTAGTTGGAGCCATCTTTTATAACCAATATTAACGCTCCACAAGGCTGTTTGAGTCATTCACAACCATAAAATTGGTTAGTTGAGTATTAGGAACTAAAACATCAGACCTTTTATTCTTATGGTTTCATTTAATAGTAAGACTTACCTGTTACCCACCACCAGTACACTGGTTTCCAGATTGAAATAAACTACAAAGTTACGTGTTAAAAATGCTATACATATCAGGGCTTATATGAATGAGAGTTGCTCAATTGTAGCAGCAAGAGTGAACTATCAGATCTAGGTGCCAGTGGTGCCTGCCCCATGTTGTTCACTTGAGTAAATTGCATAACCTCTCTGGGCCTCTTTTTCATCTGCCATGTGGGAATGATGTACCATTTGCCTTCATGGACTTGCTATCTTAAGTTGTTGTGAGGTGCAAATGTAATTATGTAAGTAAAAGCACTTTGTGAATAGGTATGGTAAATGTCATGGCAACATTACCTAATTTTAAATAGCTTTAAAAAAATACGACCAGCTGAAATGCTATGTTCTGTGTTTGCAAGGAGGCTAGTACCAGTGGTGAAGGCTGTCTCATTCAGGAGTTAGAGGAATAGCTTTAACAATTACCTTTTAAATTCTCAATGAGGCCATTTAAATTAATTAACTTATTTGATTGGTCAGCTTTTATTCTTGGATCAATTTGTTTCTGGCACTAAGACAATTTATGTTATGTATGTGGAGGATATTTAACTCAATGTTAAATTGAAAGAAGCAAAACTAAGCATCAGCATAAGGAGTTTAAAAGAGCATTAACTCATCCTTACTGCCTTTAAATTGTTCAGCATTGATAGATTTAGAGAACCATTGTGTTAAACTATAAACCTAAAATAATTTCAGTCTAGTTTTCATGGCATATGCCGTAATTACTTTGACTAGGCATCAAACATCAGTGTTTCATCTGACTTTCTATTATAATTCAGTTGTCATTCCATACTAGTTGGGAAATAGTTGATCTGTGTTGTAAGTATTTTATTAGAGCTTATTTGTTTATATCACTCTTTCTTTTTTAGAGTATATTTTATGAAGTACTGATTACTTTGTTATGATTGAGCTTGTTTTGGAATACTTTTGTTTTCTTGATAAAAATTTTCTAAAGAGTAGTATTGCTAGTTCTGGCCATGCTTTTAAAATCAGTTTGGGTTTTGGGACATTGACTATTTAAAAGGTGGAGTGCATGTATTACAAGCATAATCATTAATGTACTGCAAAGCTCTGTGTTACATTAATGTTTACATCTAAACTTCACAGAAAATCTTTTAACTCCTTACTCAGTTGCCACCAGCACAGAAGGGTAAATTCCTCTAAGAAGACTTCTCATACAAGTGGCAGTCAATCGCAATTCAGAATTTTCACATTCTTATTTAGGGATTAAATGTCATTTTTATAGAACGTCTGGGTAATATATTCTAATAAAGGGGAGACTTTCTCTTTGATGCTTCCCTTAAGATTCTGGCCTCTTAAAATTCTTCCTTCTCACTTCTACCTCTTCAGTTTTATATGTTGCTGATTTTTCCTCGTTTCTTTCTCTTCTTATCCTTTTATTTTCATTCTAGTTTTAATTTTCTTTGCTCTTTTCTGTGTGTGTGTGTGGTGTACGTGTCTGTGTGTGCATGTTGCATTTGTGTGCATTTTGTCAGAAGAGTACTTTAGACTTCTTCACCTCAGAAGTCTTTGGCACTTAGGAATTTACTAGTTTTTTAGGGTCAAATCTTCCTTCCGAGAGACCTATGAGTTCTGTTCTTGTTAAGGAAATAGCCACGAACCATGAGGGATTGGTTTTGCCTCTTCTGGAGCTAACTTTGTGGCATTCTTTTGTCCTTCTCTCAGAGAGCAATGGATTTCATTCACTTCTGATCTCAGAAGTAGCCAAAACAAAACCAAGTAAGAAATCTCCCAAAAGTTGGTTATCTCTGGATATGGAAAATTGTTTTCTTAGGAGTTCTGTCAATTATTGGGAATTGATAGATCATCTTTCACCTGAGACTTTTTATTATTAGTTGGTGGGCATAGGTACCATTATGTCAAAAGAGCAGACTTTTGGAACTTATATTGCCTATGCTTTGGACAGAAATCTTTAAGGCCAGAGAGGAGATTGTAGTAGTTATACATCTGTGGCTTGGCTACTAGGGTTTTCTTTTCTTTCTTTTTTTTTAAATTTTCTTTCTTGATCAGAATGTAGTGGTTTTTCTCTCTTGTTATTTATTTTACTTTAACTTTTGTCTTCATGATTCTGGCTAGTATCAGATGGCTGACAAGATACAAATGAATTTTATTTATATAGTTATTATTAAAGAAAGTTACTATAGTAGCAAGTACTACAGTGGCCTAAAGTAGTTTATTATCTGGACAGTGTCCTAGTCAGTGGCAGATTTTCATAAATTGTGAATTCTTCATGAAGACCTTGCAGTTTCAAGCATCTTTATAGCAAAAGCAAGAATGAGACTTATGTGTACATGTGAAGTTCTAATCACATACTGTTAGGCTTCTAGAGTCCTTTCTAGCATCTCCTGCACACTTATATATAAATTAAGTTTATGGAGGCTAATAATCGTTTTCATGGAGAAAATATAATTTATTAGCTTAGGAAAATTCTTTCTTTTAAATTTGGAATTTGTCTCTTTTTTTTTTTTTGGATTGTTCCATTTTTAGACACAGCTTCTTATGGGAGTAGTAATTTAGAGATTGTTATTTAATACCACCTAGAGGTATTTAAGAAAAAGAGTGTGAAACTTCTTTGTCTCTTGAAAACTTTTGAACATTCATCTTCTGTAATTGTTCCCTCACCCCGCATCCCCCCACAAAGGGCAGAAAAAAGGCGAGAATACAAGCACAAGTGGATATGAGAAGGTAGTCTTTGCTCATGAGCATTGGAGGCCCTTATTTGGTCTTATCTTCAGTGGCATATGCAAAGGGGGCATATTAGTATTGCTCAAGGAACATTTACAATACATGTGACCTTGAATTTCCTTTCTTTATCTCTTAGGGAATCAGTTTCTTCAATTCCTGTAAAATGCATGAATTAATTTAGATGATCTTTGGAGTTCTATTTCTAAAATTCTGAGAGTCCCACAGATTTTGCTTCATTTTTAAAATCCACGGTTAAGGATTTTGGGTTTCTTGTCCTTAAATTTTTTACTATTGCAGTAGAAAATAAAGACAAGCAAACAGCTATCCTTTTCTTCAAGAAGAGGTTTATAATGAGTGATTGTTTGAATTACCTTTATGAGATAGTATATTTCTCCTTAAATGACCTATATAGATGTATGTAGCTGGTTTCTGTTTCAAATCCTCTTCCTTTTTATATACTCCCAGAACTTTAAACACATCTTTTATAATAGGTTTGCATTTTTAGAAGCTATTGTTTTATTTTAATTATTTATTTTAAGATTTCGAAATTTTTGTGAATTCTGATTATCATCTGATTAGAATTCATGATAAGATAGCATAGAATGATAAAAAACTTTTTTTTAAAAAGGTCCAGATTGATTCCTCTTATTACTTTTGGTACGTTCAAAATGCCTATGTAGTAGTCTAATGTGAAAGGAATTTGTGTAGGTTACACTTTGTCCCCTACATTTTTATAGCTAATTGTATCAAGACCATTTTTAGGATTTTTAAATGACCTGAGCTTGAATGGGAGAGAAAACAGTGCTCTCTTCTGATAAATTCTTGAAGGTGCCATTCTATGCCTAGAGTTAATTTCTCATGGCTTTCAGATACTCATGTCCAGTGATCTTGGCAAATAATTTGGAGTCTAATCATAGACTTTTCATGGATTTCACATGATGGTTATTTTTTAGTGCTTCAGAAAATTTCTACTTTTTCTTTACTTCATTTTGACTGTTCTCCCTATTGATAATGCTGTTTGGAAACTGATTGTAGTGGTATTGGTGAATAAAAGAAAAAATAGAAAATTAATATAAAATTTTTCTTAGGTGTGTTAATTTTCTATTTTTTCCCCTCAATTCAGTTTTTAGTTCAGATACTATAACTTGCTAGTTAAGGCTGGTTCTTTCTACATGTAGCTTTGGGATTTTACTCAGTTTGATCAGTATTGCAATCAGAAAATTCACAAGAACTTCTCACCTTGTGTAAATGTGACGTGTTTTGTTTTACATTTTGAGAAAAATAACCTAGACATGATTGTGTTTATTTCTGAACTTGCTATTGGAGATGGGTCATCCTGCTGAAAGTTTAATTACTTAAAAACCAAAATATTTTAACAGCATGGCTCATCACAAATGGTAATGTTCAAAGACTAGTTTCTTAAGATATTTTTCAGATACAAAGTTCTGTTTTGCACAGGGTGAGACTCTTAGGAAATTTTCTGATTGCTTTCTATTTTTATTTTTATTTTTTTTAAAGCTGTGTTATTTTTTAGTTCTTCATGCTTTGGAAGTAACAGTTGAAGAGAGGTGAGGAAAGTTTGTGAAAATTGTGATCGGTGATTAGCTGCCACCTGCCTGAGGTGTCTTCTGAGAGGAACTAACCTCTTTGTGGTGCTAGAGCAAGGTCACTGGATAAAAAAAAGAACAGGTAATCATCTTATTCCTTGTCTGAAAAGTTCTGTTTTAAAATTAATAAATGCAAAATGTTCAGCATAAAGTGAACTACTGTGTAAAGAAAGTTTTTAATTTTCTCCTCAGAAACTAGTAAAGTGGACTATGTCCTTTTTCAAGCTGCCACAGCCATAATGGAAGCAGTTGTCCGAGAGTGGATTCTCTTGGAAAAAGGTAGCATCGAGTCGCTGAGAACATTCCTTTTAACCTATGTCTTACAAAGGCCCAAGTAAGTATACATGGAGGAGGTACTGCTAAAATAATTTTGCTGGCTCCTGTGTATCATTTTAGAGCTTTTTAAATTTGCATTTTTAAAAGAAAATTTTAAATAATAGACATTGGTGGTTAAGCTTTATGTGGGCTTAAACTTTAAAAACTCATATACATGATCGTAGGTTATTTTGATGCTTAATGAAATAATACCTTTTATTTAAGGTTTTATGATACTAAGTTTTATTTCTTTGAAAAGATTGTGCTGGATATTAGAGGTTTTTTTTTATTGTTGAGTTTTGAAGAATTTGGTTATAAATAAAAGTTGATCTTAGACTCAGTTAAAAATCCTTTATCTTTACTTGTTCTTCTTTTGTTGCTTGTATGGGTGGTTCTTTCTTTCAACATGTTTTAAATTTAGAATGGTAAGTATTATAAGACATAGATGAGTATCCCAAAACAGGGTCGAGGGAAGAAATTAGGTACCATTAACAAACCAAATGTTATGTATATATGTACATAGAAATGTACATAGAAAAAGTTCTATAAGAAAAATTACCAAGTTCTTTAAAGAGGGGATCAAGTTTGAGGAATGGGGTGAAAGTGAATTTTCTTATTACATTATACACATCTGTATTGTTTTAGCATTTTATGAGATTGTGTACATTTATTACTTGAATGATTTAAAAAAATCTGAGGAAAATTATCAGCTATATAACTTTTGGGGAAGAAATTACTACTTTTGGGGAAGAATTACTACTTAACATTTTTTTAAAGTTCTCTAAATACCAAGTATTCTTTTGATTATAGGGAATGCACTTGTATATTTGCTGTTTGTGTAACTGAATACTTTAGACGTTCACTACCAAATTCATTGAAGAAAAAATGTGTTATGTAATCAGAAATGCTTATACTTAGGAATGGTAATTAATGACAATAAGCACGTATATAAAACTTTAAATCTAGTTCAGAGCATAATGTCATGCATTTGTTCTACTGGTAGTTCATAGTATTTAATAATAATTACTCTTGTGTCTACAGCTCTTTGTTAAAGGCTGTTTTACATATAGAAAAATGTGTGAGAGAAAAAAAGCCAAGGTTTACTTAGCCTATTAGTGTTACAAGTTTAGTGGATAATGTGTCTTACAGATAGGTGGATATACGTGTGCATGTGTGTGTGTGGGAGAGAGAGAGAGGAAGGCAGGGCTAATTTTTTCCAGTTTTCTTAGAATAAGGAAGACTTGATCCTGCTTTTAAGCCTTTGTTGTCTTCATGCTGGATTGATGCATTGATTTTTTTTTTTTTTTTTTTTTTTGGGTGAGGTCATTTGGATGTGATACTAGCTTTCCTTTTTCTTGTTTCCATTTTACCATATTTGCTAGACCTGACGGGACTGTTTTTCTTTTGATTCCTGTGTACATAAGGTAAACATAAATACATGGAATAGAACTCTTGAAACTGTCAGTATTCGTGCATTATTTTGCGTATGCTGTAACTCACAAATATCAAAATTTTATTACAGGTTGCAACCATGGAAGAGATATATTTTTTTGTTGAATTTTACTAAAATGATATTTTTAACTTTTTTCTTTTTTGGAGATAGGGTCTGACTGTTTTTCCGGGTTAGAGTGCAGTGGCGTTATCATCATAGTTCACTGCAACCTCCAACTCCTGGGCTCAAGTGATCCTCCTGTTTCAGCCTCCCAGAGTGCTAGGATTACACGTGTGAGCCACCGAGCTGGCCTTGTTTTGATCTTTACCATAGTAAAGTAATTAGAAATCAATAAGGTAATATGTGCTTATTGTTGAACAGAGGTTGAGAAAACCTTCATATTTATATAATGAAAGAAAATAAACCTTAAGCCTCTGTGTTTATAGGAGTTTATGTGTGGGAAGGTTTTTTTAAAAAAATACATTGGCCGGCGCTGTGGCTCACGCTTGTAATCCTAGCTCTCTGGGAGGCCGAGGCGGCGGATTGCTCGAGGTCAGGAGTTCGAAACCAGCCTGAGCAAGAGCGAGACCCGTCTCTACTATAATAGAAATAAATTAATTGGCCAAATAATATATATAGAAAAAATTAGCCGGGCATGGTGGGCATGCCTGTAGTCCCAGCTACTCAGGAGGCTGAGGTAGAAGGATCACTTGAGCCCAGGAGTTTGAGGTTGCTGTGAGCTAGGCTGACGCCATGGCACTCATTCTAGCCTGGGCAACAAAGCGAGACTCTGTCTCAAAAAAAAAAAAAAAAATACATTGGCCCCTAGGCCTAAAACATTAAAAAGAGTTTTCTAAGGGCAGGCATGATGGCTCATGTCTGTAATCCTACCACTCTGGGAGGATGGGAGGATTGCTTAAGGCCAGGAGTTCAAGACCATCCTAAGCAAGAGTGAGACCTAGTCTCTACAAAAATAGAAAAATTGGTCAAGTGTAGTGGTGTGCGCTTGTAGTCCAGCTAATCAGGAGGCTGGGGCAGGAGAATGCTTGAGCCTAGGAGTTTGAGGTTTCAGTGAGCTGTGATGATGCCACTGTACTCTGGTCAAGGCAACAGAGTGAGACTGTCTCAAAAAAAAAAAAAGAGAGAGAAAAAGTTTCCTAAAGAGCAGTCCATTTATGTGATCTTGGGAAACGATCAAGAACAGGACTTGGTACCTACCTTATAGGGTGCTGTTAGGATTACATGAGATAGTTGTGAACACGGTGCCCAGATGGCAGTAAAGTCTGGCTACCCAAAACAACCCATCGGCCATCTGGCCAAGCCTCTCTTAAGGACTCAGGGTCAGCAGGAGAGCTTTTGCCAAATAGATAGTTCTGGAGCTGCTTATTATCAAACCTTTTCCCTCTTAAACTTGGAACCTCTAAACTCTGGAGAGCTGGGAAGACTTAGATGTGTGACAAAATTCATTGGGTATATGTGTCTGATTTCTTGCTTTATCCAAAAAAGTCTCATTCTTAAATATTAATGATTTTTGATAGTTTCAGAAGCTATTTCAGAGTTGATTGTAGGATTCCACATTGAAATAGTTCACTTATGTATTTTCTCGAAATGCTTATTTTGAAATGTAAAAACCTTTGGTAAAGTTAAAGAATAGTACAATGAACATGAACATACCTTTTCCCGAAAGGCCCAGTTGACATTTTGTCCCACTTGATTTCTGTCACGTATCTATGCATCTCTTCCTTGAACCATTTGAGCTTGTCCTCAGACATCTTGATACTTCAACCTTAGATACTTCAACATGTCTTTTCTAAGAGTATAATCTCAGTACTATTGATATAATTGGTATACTTATATTATCTAATATAACTCTGATTCCATATCTGAGTTCCTAATTGTCTGAATAATGTTATTTATAGTCTTTTCTTTCTTTATAGGTTACTTTTTATTTCAGTCTTCTCTCTTTCAGGTCTATTAATATTTGCCTTATATGTTTAGGTCAATAGGTTATTATTTTTAATCCAGGATTTGGCCAGAGATTATACATTGTATTAGTTTGTCATGTCCCTATTAATCCTGTTAGTTTTTCTCTCTCTTTTATTTATTTATTTTGAGATGAGTACAGTGGTATCATCCTGCTCACTGAAACCTAAAAATCTGGGCTCGTACTCTCCTGCCCCAGCCTCCTGAGTAGCTGGACTCCA